TGTAAGTCATAGTGATTCATGTATCTATTGCAATTTCTATTTGCTATTTTGAAGACTTTTTTTTTTAACTCTGTTAAAAATTCCAGTGAGGATGATTGAAAATTTATCTTCTCTTTTCTCCCTTTCTACAGGTTTTTTCATATACTTTTTGGGAAAATTGCTTGTGGGTTGTGCTATATTTGATAGCACACAACAACAAATATGTGATAACTAATACGGAACCAATGATGAAGTTTGTTAAAAGACAAAACAGATTCCTCTCTTGCTTGCCACAGTTAGTATTTTATTTTGATTGTTTTTCTTAGGTACAAACAATTTGTATGTCATTGCTACTCTTCTAGAATATTAGTATACACACAAATAGTCCACTTCTTTTGTCGTAAGTTAAGTAATTTGTCATATTTCTTCGTCTCTTCTTTTGGGCATAATAAGAGATCAAGTTTTCTTGAAACTAACAAATGTCCAACATACACTATAACAAAAATAATTTTTTTATCGACAATAAATATGCACATTAACAAAGAGTGCTACTGCCTTTACCGACATTAATTAATTGTCATTAGATTCAATGTTGCAATAAGCTTTAGGGACATTTATAGAGAGGATCAATTACCTCTGAAAATACATATTTAGTGATAATTAAGCTATTAATTGTCGTTAAACATCATTTTTACTGTAGTGATAACTCTTTATTTTGATAAAGTTTTTTGTTTTTTTATAAAGAAGTAGCAACTCTTTCTTTTGGATTATTTCAATTAAATTTGTGAACTGTAAACTTGGATACATCCCAATAAACTATCTTTTTTGTAAAATATGTTAAGCAACATGTTTTTGTCTTCCTAATTGCTAGGAAAATAAGGTTGTCTTTATTATTATTTGTGGATATTTGTGAGTTCAAGTGCTCACAAAATTATGCTGCGAGATTTTAATATGTTATATGTCAAAATTTTGGTTTAGAATATCCAGGCGAATAGTTCCATTCAGATGCCACCTATTGCTTGGTTGATAATTGCATTAATTCTTTGTAACTGCATACTATAACTATAACAATAACTATGGTTTAGAATATCCAGCTGTGAACAGTTCCATTCAGATACCACCTACTGCTAACAATAACTATGGTTCAATTCCAAATTAGTTGGGGTCAGTGATATGAAACCTGAGCAATAGTGATGACTATTCTGCTACAACGAGGAAAAACATTTATGATACTAACAATTTTAGGGTCATTTTTAAAATATACATGATGCGTCTTACTACAATAATAACATATTGATGGAGGTTCATAAGAAAGGAGTTGAAGGTCTTCCAGTTGAGTTTAGCTAAATATGTTCTTGCATGGAAGTGATGTTCCACTTTACTTGGGAGTGTTGTTGTTCGAGGCTTTTTGGTAGTCTCTTCTTTAACGTTTGATGTTGT